TACCCTGCGTGACACGAAGGTGAGCGCCACGCCGGGCCGGGCGGGCCGCGGGGGCGAGGCCCAGGCAGGGAAGGCCCGGCGCCTCCTGCCGCCCAGCTGCGCCTAGTCTCCAACCTCCAGTCCCAGCTCCGCTCGGGTCTCCGCCCCCCGCCCCCCCCGGGCGGAGCGGAGGGAGCTGGAAAGTTCCAGCAGTGCCGCGGCCTCGCCCAGCTCGGACCCGGCGGTCCCCGCGGGTGCGGGAATTGGGGGAGACTTGGCCGCCCCGCGGAGGCGCCTCCAGGCCCGGCTGCCTGCCAGGTCCAGATGATCAGGTGGCCTCTAATTCGGGGCAGGCAGGTTGCCTCCCTAGGCTGCTGCCGCTTCTCTGTTCATGGGGAGCCTGAATTGGGTCAGAAGCAGATGGCGGGAGCTGAGCCTACGGGTCTGCCTGGCCCGGCTAGGGGGGGGGACGGGAAATGACATCACGAATTGCCGTGTATTTAAACCAGCCTCTCCCCCCCCCACCCCGCCCTCCCACGCATGGAGAAAGCGGCTCATCCCATCTAGTGTCTGTCTGCCTCTGCCCTCGTCTCCTCTGTTGCTGTGTAAAGGGGAAGGATGTAGAGGAGAAGTGAGGATGAGTGGCACCTCTTTGCCTGGCAGCTGCGAGCTGGGCCTTACTTAGGCCTCAGACTTGACTTCCCCCTCCTCCCTAACACAGGGTTGCAGATGACAGGGAGAAGCAGCTGCTTTAGAGACTGCTTTTTCCAGCTATAGCAAAGGTTTTGCTTGCATTCGCATGTTTGCAGCACAAACATAGCTGCTGCACTGGCTGTGTGGGGGCAGGGAATGGAAACAAGAAAATGAAACTGAATGAAGTTGCCCAGACTGAGTGAAAAGCAAAGAGGGACTAGGAATGGGGGAAGGATTTGTAATGTTTTAAAGTTTAATCTGCTAGTGGTTTCTGGATCTTTTTAAAATGAGAACCAACCAGCTTGTAAATCTCTTGAGCCCTGGCTGAATCTGTTCTCTTATGCCTGGAAGAGAAGACACTTAAGATAAATCCATTTGTGTAGTGAATGCAACTTGGCCAAGTCGAGGGAGATTAATGGTTGAGTGAGTCTTGTTAGCTTTGACCATCAAAATGAATGGGGAAGCTGGGGAACAGTTTGATCTTTTGGGCGAACTGAGTCGGATATTTCAAGTTGGAAATGTGGGCCAAAATGAAAAAGAAAGCAAGACTTCTGCATATATGTGATGTTAGAAGTGTTCGTAATTGCTACTGCCAGTCATACCATGGTTATCTGCACGTATGTAAAAGTGTGAAGTATGGTAAAAACCTTTCAAATACTTAGCAAATAAGAAACAAGGTCACTTTATCAAGCCAGCTATAGACCCAAAGTTAGGTTTGTAAAATGTGTTCTTACAAATCCTAAGAACGGTGAAAAAAATGCCCGTAACTTTAAAAAATCCCAATGCAAAGTGGTGTGTCTTATCACGTGCTCCCCCTCTCCCTTCCCCCCACCCTTGCAGATGACAACTTCTTTCCTACTGTATGTGTTTGCTGTTCTTAGTATGGTATGTGCAGACTCAAAAGATGGACCTGACCAGAAAGCGACTGTAACAATAGCTGATTTAATCTATTAATACTTAGGCCAAGAAAATAAAAGATAAACAATGCATTTCGGGTACACAAAAAGGGGGCTGTTCTTAACTACTTTTTAATGACCCTGTTCTAGTTTACCCATGTCCATGCTGGATGTCCCCAACTGTATTAGAAATGGATTTAGCTAGAACTGCTTAGTTTGTTTTTACTCCTGGATCATATAAAAGCTTATTCATAAAACTGATTGATATATTGCAGAACCTGTAATACAGCTGGCTGTTTTAAGTCCCTCTCCCTCAGATTTGTTAATTTGGCTAACCTGACCTTCATAGGTAGGTCAAATCATGTTTTAGCCATATGACTGATTAAATTTTGTCTCAACCTCATGAAGAGTTTAAGAAGGTCAGGTTGTAATTACTATTTACAATGATGTGGGATTTGAGACATCTACAGAAATGTGAAATATTTTATGAGTTTTTTTTAAAAGTTTTCTTTTTATGATGGAAAAACCTTTTAAAAACCAAATGGTGTTATTAAAATCTGACTACTGTAACATAGGGACTACATGTAAAAATGTAGAGCAAGAATAGTACAAAGTTATCTTCTAATGTTTCATGAAAGTAATGCCCTCCACTTGAAAACAGAGGAGACTAGAGTAAAACAAACACTAAAAATAACAGCCACAACTGATTACTTTCTCTGCCTCTAGTATCTTTCTTTAAGAAAAGAGGAACAAGATTTTATGTTAAATTCACAAGCAGGGTCTATATTGATAATGTGCAAGTGAAGTGAATTGTACTATTCAAAACACAGTACTATATATAGTACTAACTTGAGTTGTAATTATCTGATGCATGTAGCTCTAATAGGAAAAATAACTATGCATTAAAAAGTAATAGTATACAAATTAGTTTCATTTTTTTTCTTCCAACAGGGAATATGAAACAGGTGTCAAAATGACATCCAGATTTGGAAAGACCTACAGTAGGAAAGGGGGAAATGGCAGTTCGAAGTTTGATGAAGTCTTTTCTAGCAAACGGACCACCCTTAGCACAAAATGGGGAGAAACCACCTTTATGGCCAAATTAGGACAAAAAAGGCCCAATATAAAACCAGATATTTCAGAAATTCCTAAAAAGCCCAAAGTTGAAGATGAGGTAACAGAAGATCCTTTTGGATTTGACAGTGATGAAGACTCTCTGCCTGTTTCTTCAAAGAATGTGTCACAGGCTAAAAGCTCCTCTCAGCCTGAACCCACTGAAGCTGCTCAGTCTGAGGACTTCACTTCTCTACTTGAAGCTAATAGCAAAATTAATCAGTCAGTCAGCAAAGACAACATTGTGTCCAGCAAGTGCATATCTTTTGACAATGTTGTTTATGGCTTAAAAGAAAAGAGCACAAACAGAAACATGGAGGATGGGGAAAGCAGAAGCAGTAGTACTAAATTCATAACTGCAGGTAAGTTAAATATTTAACCAGTACTGTTTAAAAAGTTAGCATAGTTGTGCATACTGTAAATTTATTGATCTCCATACAGCCTTTTACCAATCCATACAGGAGATGCAACGATTTGGTCAAACTTAGTGACAAGTAACATGCAGAAAACACAGGAGCTAACTAAAAAATAGTTTTAACAGTTTTTGTTAAGATTAAATAAAGCAGACTGTCATCATGCTACTTGGATACAGTGACTAAGGACCATTTAATTAATAAGTAGAAGTGTTGTAAACATTCTTGAAGTTCTGAGCCTTGCTTTTCTCTCAATGCATTCATACTTCCAATTAGTAATTATCCTTGAGTAAGATAATTTCTACAATTTCTTAACTCCTTTCCCACCAACCCACACCAAAGCAGGATCAAATACACCTCAACCATCTAAATCATCCATGCCCTTCCTAGATTAGTTTCTTTAAGTGTTTCAAGGCCCTTTATAGTTAGAAATTATTTCCTAATATTCCACTTAAATACTCTTTGCTGCCTGTGACTTATTTTTATCTAACTCTTAGGTAACTGTGGTTTGCCTACCCCTAGGGGTACACAAGACATGTCGGGGGGTTATGCTGGAAAAAATGTGTAATGGCGGATTTAATTTTCATTATAATAATTGGCATTTAATGGGTTAAACTATAAATGTGTGCTGATAGGGGTATGCAGGCAGCTGGTATTTCTTGGAAGGGAGTATTCAGTAAGAAAAAGTTTGGGAACCTCTGTGTTAATTAGTTCATAATCCTTTTTATATATTGGGGAAACTACATGTTTCTGGACTGACAAACCTAATTTTTTGTGTGTCTGTCTGTCTC